CGTCATTCATTGTAGCCTAATACAGGCAGCCGGTCCCCCGTGTCCGGTTAAAATTCCATTCACACGTTGTCCTATTGATAATAAAAAGCAACCAAGCTGTGAATGGCTTATCCCTTCCTCCACTGCTGTTCCAATAAAGGGATGATTTTTTGAGTTTTTAGCCTGTATTCGCCTTTTCCCCATATATTTTCTAGCACTCAACCTGAAGTCTGGTTAAACCGCTGCATCCTGTTGCAGGCACATACTCCCTAGCAGTTCAGGGCATTATGCAGGAGAAAACACAAGCTTAAAAAACTGCAAACAGATAGCTAGGTGCAATTATCCTAACATGGTAGCATCCCCATGCACACTCTCCAAGCAGTCTTTTCAGCTTTGTTTTAGAGAGCCAGAGAGCATCATATAAATAGGTGCTGATGTCGGCCCCCAGCACAGAGGACACAGCACGCAATGGCTGTCATGGCTTGCCTGTCCCAGGAAGGTGCACGGTACATGACCTAAAATGTAAAATTAAATGACGGGTAATTTCCATGAGCCTCGTAATATACGTTCCCCATCACAGATAGGTGAAGCGATCTGAAATTACTCGGGTCGATTTGTTTTTTCCATGTTGGCTGAAGTTCTGCCCTATGGCGTGCTGCTAACCTGGGGTCTTAGGACAGAACTAACGCTCTCGTCAGCTTCAGGCACTAAGAAGCTGCACAGCTGTTGTTCTGGCCGTGTCCTGACTTCAAGTTTTAATCTACCTTACCTTAGGCACTTATAGGACCTTTGCCACCATCATCTCAGGATGCCTTGCAGTCTAATGCATGCATCCTCAAAACACCCCAGCCAGGTTGCAATTGCTCATCCACTCATTACAGGCAAGGAACTGAGACTAACTGGTTTGCCCAAAGTTATTCAAAGTCTCTTACAGAGAGTGGAGACTTGAACACAGGATTCCCCAAGTGCTGGGCTGGCATCCGTACCCCTGCAAAGCCCACCTTTCCCTGAAGCTGATACTATTCAAATGAAAAGGCTATCCAAGTTAACAAAAAAACTTGTTAGCACATATTAACAGCACCTGAAAAGGCAGGTTAGCTGGTCACACTCAGCTGATTACATTTAGCCAGACTGCAAGATAGTGCTAGTCTGTAATTTTATGGCTCTATATAAACATCATTAATCCCAGAGGCCATAAAGAGAGGCAGTTTCACCCTGCTGATTTTTAATAAATCAACTTAAACAGTTTGGTTAAAAAACACACCTTTGGCTTGCTGGGAAAAATGACAGAGTTTAATAAAAACGGCAGCTGGCGAATGTTGCTAAAAACTACAAAAATATTTTAATCAGCTGAAGCAAATAATTGCTGTCCTCTCTAGAGGAGACGGCTTCCAACACTTTCCAATGGCTTAGTCTAGTTATCACTGTCCTAACGATGAACCCAAGCCCCTGGGATGTTAGATAGCCTCGGGTTTGACTGGGTGAAGTAAAAGCTGATGCTCAGCAATTTGTAGGCTCCAGCTCAGATCTCAGTTATGAAGATGGATGGATCTGGCCTGGGAGCCGTGCCCCTGACCAGGTGCACATGAAGCCCTTTGGCCGTCCGACTTCAGCATGTTATGCTTTATCATAAGTTTGCTGCCTTTTGCTTCCAGGCATTTATTGTCCAGTTCAAGTTGCATTCAGCTTGCTAAGTCTGAACCTCAGTGTTGACTGCTACCCCGGAGCTGCTCTGAAAAAATTGGGCTTGTGATGCAAATGCCCGGCCCCTTGAATTCCAGGACACGTTGTCTGCTATTTCCTGTGGCTGCAATAACGTGCGGGAAGAGCCAAGCTCTCAGTCTGAACCTGAGCAAACTGCACGGCAACCCCAGAAGGGAACCTCAGAGGTCATTAGCAGCAACGGAGCCAGCGGGCACGGGATTACTAACAGCAGCACAAAACCCCCCTGAGATCGAGGGCCTTCCACATCCACTGGCGGTCCCTGCCACGGGGACCTTGCAGTGGACAGCCTAGGCAGGCGAGGAATCATGGCACAGAGGGATTCGAGTTAACCCTCCACCATCACATAGAGCTGCAGCAGCGCAGGCACCTTGTCACCCCAGCACCTGAATTACTAGACACCCGCTGGGGCTGGGTGGGTTGCATCCTGCGCCGACGTGTTTTGCTGGTACAGATCGGAGCTGCGTTCGCTTGAGCGCATTTGCTTCCTTGCAGCCAAGAACAGGCTCAGCTCAGTGGCTGGGGTGCAATGCACATGCTGCCAGAGGCAGTGCTTGGCCCAGAGACAGGTTTCACTGGCAGATTTGTGGCCTAACACTTTGCCGTGTGTACTGCAACATGCCAGGAAAGCTGTCAGTCTCCTGGCTCAGCTCGGCTTGGCTCTGCTGGGGATTTGCTGCAGGATACCATATGGGAGTGTGGACACCTGGACAGTGCTTGCAACTTTGGGGGCAAAGGGGTGTCAAGTGGATGCAGCACAGCATGTGCAGCAACAGCTCAGGAGGCACCTGAGCACAAGGTGACTGGCAGAGCCAATGCCACCCTCGCCCCTGCTGCCTCTTATGGTTTCCAAGCCTTGTCCATCACCTGCCCAGATGACCCCTCTCCAGCTGGGGCTCCCCAGGACCACTTTCTCCTCCTGGCCCAGGACTCAGGTGCAAGACAATGGTTTTCTGTTAATAACCACACTGAACCTGAGGCTCTTAAGTTATCACTGGCCTGCCCTGGATACCTCTGGTTTTGTTGCTGGCTATGCTCTGCATTTTTAGCAATGCAACATCTAATGAGGCCAAAACACAGGCTTGGGGCTGCCAATCCATAGCTGTGACCTGCGGCTTTGCTGGGTTAGCCTTTGCATGGCAAAATAGCCGGGATCGGAGGGCCTGGACTAAGAGATGTGGACGAGACGCAGCAGCTTGTTTTCCAAGCCAGTTGCAGAGACCACAGGGCTCCACCTATGTGTAAGGACTGTGTGTCAACATTTGGAGGGCTTTTCAGAGTCCATGAGAGCTCTACAGGGCTGGCACGCCATTTCCAAACGCACATCTGGTGGTACTTTAAAGCATAAGCAAATAGTTGAGGGAATAAAAACAGAAGCAAGAACCAAATTGAAACCAAAAGCTAAAGAAATTGTTGTACAGCACCTTCTGGAAAGCAGTTACTGGGGGGCCTACAGAGCCATCCTCTCATGTCACTCATTGAAATGCACCCCACGATTCGGGAACTGAGCATTGCTACGTTAAAGGGGAGAAAAGCTTTGCACCAAGCTTTGTTTGATTAGAAGATATCCCCCCTGCTCCTCACACACGCACACACTTCTGCTGGTGCTTTCCAGGCTTATACAAGTTTGTATTGGCAGAAATGTCCAAAGAAAGAGAACATTTAAAGTTTATTAGAGGGTGTTTGTGAAAGGCAAGGCTCCTAGGAGAGCCAAGTCGAAGAATCCTGTAGTCAAAAAGGAAGAAACACCGCGTGATCGGTCTCATAACCACGGTGTGCTGATTGTAGTAACAGCCCCAATTCTAACTGCGCTTCCTCATTTGTTCCAGTTTGTCATGCCCAGATAGAGTTAGACTTCCTGAGCTGGGTCCATCGATACGAGGCCCTTGCACGTCTCCTTGCCTGGGGTGGGTGGAGCCTCTGGGTGGTACAGTATAACTCCAATATCAATCATCAAGCTGTAGCACGCACTGAGATAGGAAATACTCTGAACAAGGGAGGTGGTAGCAAAATGCAGATCCAAAAATTAGCTGCAAATGCTGTAGACTAGTAACTCTGAAAGGCAAATGTGAAGCTGTGGACAACTTGTGGACAAAAACTGACTTACAATGAATTCATCAAAAAAAAGAGGGGGGGGGTGTTCCCTATCAACTGTTCACTCCTCTACAGTTGCAGCCAGCTGAGAAATGGTGCAATGGGTGGCCCCATCTCCATCCGATCTCCAGCAGCCATGGGATTGTTGCACAGCCCATAGCACCCGGCAGGGATTGCGGCAGCAGAGCGGTGGAGCAGGAATCAGCAGAAGGGAAGCGACCTCCTCTCTGTTTCTGGAAGAGATGTAGGGTGAAGGGTAGGGAAGGAGGCATTCCCCCCTTGCAGCGTCTCCTTTGGTTAACTGGAGCGTGCCGTCTCGGCACCGGCCCCGACCCCGAACCTTACCTGCCTGCCCTGATACAGGATGCGAGGCAGGGAGGTTCTGCATACGCTGGGGCCTTTTCCAGTCCTTTCCCCATAAATGCATCTGCATTTCTGCAGGTAGCACCCGCTGGCTGCCCAGACAGCGAATGAACTGAGTTTTAAACCCCATATTCGGGGACAGGACTAAGAGACAAGGGGCTTGTGAGGGAGATGATGCCTTGCAGACAGGTGCATGGGAGCGCCGTTCAGCAGGTGCGTATATTGTAACGGGTGCGCGGGCTTTTACAGTAGGATGATCCATGACCAGAAGTGTGTATGTATTCTTATATACACATACACTTTTTTTTATTTATTTTTATATAAGACATATATATATAAGACATATATTTTTTACAAAAAAACCCCTGCTGGCTGTCCAGACCCCTCTTAGGAGCAGGGGGCACTGGCTAGCATGCCCCTCCCCTGGGATCCCTGACTTGGACCTGAGCCTCCAGCCCCCACTTTGAGCTTTCGGTCCCCTCCATCACTTGCAGTCTGGTCTCGTTGGCCCCTGTCCCAACTGAGGTGGTTCCCGTATTATTCCACAAGGCACGGGCCCTGCCTTCCCCAGGGGTCAGCATCTTCCCTTGCACAGGTATCTCTACATTGCACGGGGATGGATCATTGCACAAGGGGAAAGTGCCAGGAACTCAATCAGCTTGCGATGGGCATCAGCAGCCTGCTTCTCTGCTTCGTCTCTGCCTGCGGCCGCTTGCCTGCTTCCCCTCCAGCAGGCCGAGTGTGCCACCTGCCGTCGGCTGAGCGCTCTCTGCCCGTCGCACGGCAGCTGCAGCTCACACAAGCGTGTGCTATGTCCTGGCATGTATGTGCCTACTCTGGCTCCTCCATAAAGTACGCTAAGAAATAAACAACATCGACCGTGACCCCAGGATTGCCAGCCTCAGGAAAGAAAAAGGAAGGAGACGAGCACACACGCCAGAGGCCAACTCCTCACACCCAGCAGCTTAGAAGTAAACAGTGAGAATAGAAAAATTCACAGAAGTCAGCAAGGTGCCTTGGTTTTTTTTTCTGCATCCTCATATCTGAGCCCTGGGGGCGCACCCTGTGAAGCTCCTCCTCGCAGCCCCGGTTGATAACTTGCTATTTCCTTCCCAGATAAAAGCCGAGACTCTGACCTACGCCACGTGTCTCTAAGAGCGAGAGGAATGCCGCCAGCATGCCACATGGGATCCAGAGCTGGGAAACCACCATGGAAAGGATTGAATGTAGGAGAAAAAGCCCCTACAGAAAAGTGGAGGGGAGCCTGGATGTAGGATGGGGGCTTGTCCAGTTCTTCATGAGAAGGGGGTTGGGGCACTTGACCGACCCCGGCAGGGACAAATCGCACTAGTCAGAGGGAGGAAGGAGCAAGTAGGAGCCGATGCCCCTTAGGAGTGAGGGCAAAGAGGATCTTTGCAGCCCGCTCCTGCGGCAAAGACCCTTCGGCCGCACGGCCCTCCTCTTCCTCGATTGCCGGCAGAGGCTCCAGGGCTCCCCTGCGTTCAGGTCTGGTGTCTGTGGTTGGACCAGAGACAAACAATTTATCTCCTGGGTTAAAGTAAATGGGGAATCCCCTGGTACCTGACCCCTGGGATTAATTATCCTTGCCCACGAACAAATGTGTGCTTTGCTCCCCTTTCAACTCCCAGCCGTCGCTTCTTGCTTCACCTTGGCTGCCTGTCGCGCCCCCGTTCCCCACGTGGGGACCGGGGTCAAGCATCCCTTTGCTTTCTCTGCCCGGGGCTGCAGGTGGGAGCCCCCCTTAGCTCTCAGGTGCCTGCAGTCCCCTGTGCCGCAAGCTGGGAGTTGGGTGCCCTGATGCTGCGCGGCCTCGGCGCTGGTTTTTTCTATCGATCCAAAAAAAAACACACCTCTCGGGCCGCTGCCCGGCCCAGCCCCTGAGATCCCATCCGTGACTTCCACCCAGAGCCCTTGGCCCTCTGCCATGTGTTTGCAAGCTGAAATCCTTGCCCAGGCCCCTCGCTCGGGCAACAGCCTGGCACTGTGCCGTCACTCCCGGCCCCCGAACAAAGAGTTCAAACAAAGGTGTGTTCCCTGCTCAGCCCCAGCCTCGCCCGCTCTTTGTGGCGCCCTGGGGGAGTGCCTTGCAGTTCACCTTCCCTTTAGTTTTACACCCTTGCAGCTGGGTGCCTGCACGGCGGCGCTTGAGCTCAGTGGAGAGATGCAAGGGGCAGCAGCCAGACCTGTTTAGAGCAGAAAAGTGGGGGCTTTGCAAAGGGATCTCTTCCCTCCCCTCCTGGGGCTGGGGGCACTGATGTTCGTCTGTTCGAGAGATACTCCAGCCCTTTGGCAGGACCGTCTCCCCACGTGGCCGGAGAGAAATGGTGCCTTTTGCAAGAGCATGCCCCGGCACAGCTAGGTGGGAGGACCACGACGCTCTCCCCAGCCCCAGGTTCGTTACGACCCTGAACGATGTCGCTAGCAAAGAACAAGGTAAGCTGGTTCTTCGGGGCCCGTCTTGCTCCGGGCGCCGGGCTCTAATCGCTGCTCCGCACTAGCAGAAGGTGGGGTCGAGTTGCACCTTACAGACTAGCTAAATCAGTCCTGCTTCGTCAGATGCCGACCGGTTTCATAAGCCACCGCTTACAAGAGCTTACAGGCTAACTAAATCAGAGAAGAGGAGGGTGCAAATATGCCCTGCCCTGACTACCTCTCTCTCCCAAGCAGGACGGGGTGGTTACCAGTGATCAGCAACCGTCAGCAAGGGAAAGACTTTTCTGCCTATCGGAAGCCGTTTGATGACACCCATCCGTACTCTGGTTCGTGCAGCAGTTTCGAGATCACTCCGACTCGACCCAACCCGAGCTGCGGCATGGCTTGGAAAGCAAGCAGCTTTGCAAATGAAGAATCAGCCACTCGGCCAGGTAAGTGGTGGATGGATTTGGACTATAGATTCAAAGGAGCAAAAGACTCTCCCTATTTTTCTTTTTAAACCAGCAATTTTTGCAGCCTGAAGGAAGACTCTGGGTTGTTGTACTCTTCTCTAGCAAGTGTTTTTAGCTGGGATAAGTACTGCCTGACACACAGAAAATAGGAGGTTTTGAAAGCAGCTCTTATCAATCCCTGCTCCTTTTCACGTACAGGTGAGGTGCGGGCTTGGGAGAGCTAAAGCGAGCCATAAATCTGAGTGGAGACAATGGCACTGAAGCCTGATAGTATTAGATGAGGTATAAACCCAGGCGGGCGAGTGGAGCAGTGGCTGGGACACGCTCCCGTGCAGAAGGTTGTTCTTCACCGCTGCGGCACTGGCCCACCCCATACTTCTCCAGTTATCCGGAGGGGGAGACCAGCTCTTGGGAGGAGAAGCATTGCAACATGTGGTAGCCTTATTCTCATCTCTGTCTTCTCCCTAGAAGTGGCTTTAGCTTGGAAGAGACTTCACCAAGCCAAGGACGTGGTAAGTGAGGTTTGCAACAAGCTCTCAAATACAAATAAAGGTTTTGCCCTAACTGGGGCTAGCATCCTGCCCCCAGAGTCCATGACCAAACTCCCGTTCGCTTCAATGGGGCTGGGATTTCATCAGATACCCACAGCTCTGGCCTCCTCTCCGCCCTAAGAGCAGGATGAGAGCATGGATAGGAGCTGGAAAGACCTAGATCCCTGAAATCACGCCTGTCTTCCTCTAGTGCAGTGGTTTCCAACCTGTGGTCCGGACCTCTGCGGGTCCACAGACTGTGTCTAAGAGGTCCATGAAAGAGGACTACGATTGATCGACAGTGTACAAATACCCACACTTACAGTGAAAAGGGGCCTGCAATTTTTTAGGGGTCCACAAATAACAATAAAAAAAGGACTGAAAACCACTGCTCTAGTCCCATCGACTCCTTTCAAATCGCATGCCCAAGAAACGTGGCTGCATCTGCAGGGTCTTGGTGTGGGACGGGTGTTTATTGGCTTCTGCTGATGTGAACAGAAGTCTGGTGAAAACATTCGACCTCGTTGGAAGTGCAAATGATGAAGAACGAGTTCGTTCTGCCTCTCGTCGTTCCCATCAACAACATTCCTCCCAACCGTAAGAGCATACCAGGCGTAACATGCCCAGACCTGCCAGCGTTTACGCACCCCGAGTCGCTGGGACTTAGCAATCAGAAGCTGCATAGGCCAGAGGAAAAAAAAAATGGTTACAGAAATGCAGCATATGCCCCTATTAAAAAGGAAATCTGCCCTTTTACAGCTCCAGAGAATTGAAAACAAGTTTAGTCATCAGGAAGAGAGCTACGCCAACGCTTGGCGAGCCAGGAGAAGACTATGGCATGAAAGGAGCCCTGGTGACTTTCCATTTACTGGTGAGATGATGCTGGGAGTTGGGAGGGCGGCTGGGGGGGAACAAAAGGGCAACGGCTGGCTGATGTCGGCGGAAAAGAACTAGCTACTCGGGGCTGCCCAGGCTGCAGGAGCATGCGTTTTCTCCTTAAGACAGCTACTGTATTGCCCATCGGGTTTTACAACACACAAGCCACCTGACTATCCCGTGGCTAGTCCATCTATTCATTTCAACTTGCTGCATCAATCGATGATCTCCCAAGGTCCCTTCCAGCCCTAATGTCTATGAAATCGAGGTAAAAGCTGTGCGCTTTGCTAGAGCTGGGGGTTTTGCGTGGACATCATGCACGTAAAAAGTAAAAACCATACGCTGTTTGGCAGCGCGCTTCAGAAAGATTCCCTAGGAGTCAAAAGGGGACGAGGAAAGAAGCAGGAAGTTTCCCCGACCTCTCGAGCACACATGCCAAGAACAGAGTTTTTTTATTTCCACGTTTGCTGGATATTTGTTTTCCTAAGTGCGGGTTCATTGCAGCAAACTGTTCAAGCTGACAACGGGGGGATATTTATGGAGGCTATTTCTTCCCTGAGCACCGGGGCTTTGCATTGCACCATTCCCATGGACATGGCTTAACCTTGCCTGAGGTCCTTGTCTTGTTAATAAGGAAATGAGAGATGCATGGGGAGCTAATCTGCTGCAAGGAAATAGGTGCTTTGCTGAGGTTACAGCCTTCCCATAGGTTTTGGTTGTAGCCGTGTTGGTCTAAGGTTACAGCGTTCGCATATGAATTTTATTTTGGTCTCAAAGCTCTAAGGAGGAAGAGGGAGGGGAAATAGGGGTTGAAATGCAGTCCTGCGGCTTAAGTGGCACTAGTCTAATACACACGCAGCCCAGTGGCGGGCAGCATCGTTTAAACACAGTGTCCTGTGGGATGCATGCAAACTGAAATCTAGCTAGCTCGACTAGCAATCATGTTCAACATGGGGTAGCACTGGCTTTAGTGCAGGCTGGCAGCCTGAGCAGCTGGGGATGCCCATGAAAAATGAAGGCGGTAGAAACAACCCTGCTCCGAACCACGGGACCTGGGCCAAGGCCAGACAGGCCCGTTACAGGGTCAGTGTCTTTGATGAGGCAGTCCTGTCCCTGCAGCCGGACCTGAACTCGGGGCAACCCCAGCCCTTTACTGACTTAATTCCACTGTGTTGCAGCAAGCCAGGCCCTGCAAGACGGATCTCTTTCCAGCGAAGGCGAATGCAGCGGGAGCGGTCCATGCAGCAGGTACAGCGCAGCGATGGGAACGCCTAACTCGTGGGTAACTAGCCAGTGTCTTAAGGACCTTGGCTGACCAACTCCGATCAAAAGCCAGACCGCAACTCCAACCTGTGCTTCGACAGCGGTCAGCATGTCAGAGACTCAACCCTGCTAGCACCCAGCGGAGAGTCCCCTTTTGCTCCAAGGCTGCTGAACACACGAGAGCGAGCATCACCAAGTGCTTGGAGTCGAACGTGTTGTCAGGACACCGGGGTTTCCTGCCTGGCGCTGAAACGAGCCTGGGGCAAGACCTTGAGCAACTCGCTTCACTTCTTTCTGCCTCATTCCCTCCCTGCCCTCCTGCTACACAGGGAAGGTCGTTACATGGGCAGGAAGATCACGGTGGGGCCTGGAGACCCTCCCAGAGGGTGCTCTAGAAACCCCAGTTGCCATTTACATCAAAGAAAATCATAGAGAAGCCAGGTTGGAAGAGACCCCCAAGGGTCATCTAGTTCAACCCCCTGCCTGAGGCAGGATCATTGCTAGCCCAGTCATCCCATACAAATCCAGCATCTAACCTCTTAGTAAAACTACCGTCAAGCCCCTCACTAGCACGGTGGCCGACATTGCCATTCCCAAGGGCCCTACATCCACATTTTCCCCTTTCTCTAAAAGGCAGGGAAAACTCATGCAAGTGTTTTTTTCCCCTGTTCTTTGACAGCCACGAGGCAAGACATGGGTCCACCTAAATGATGCCTCTTCCTTGCAGGGGGAAGTCCCACTCTGTGACATGCAGCCCCGATACAGCGGAGGTCGGAGGCATCACTGCTGCAGCCAGGACTTGGGCGGCCCTGTGGAGTCCGTGTGCACCCAGGACTCGGGACAGCGTCGGTGACCAGGAAGAGAGAAGCAGGCAGAGCCTCATGAGACCGAGGGGGGGTGCTCCTGGCTCCCCACCCCGGCCCCCTGCATGCGTCCATCAGTTCTCAGCTGGCCCAGGGACCATCTGGGGAGATGCTTCTTTGGACAGGGCACGCCAGCCTGCCACACCCTCCATCTCCCGGACCAAGAGTCCGGTTGCTCCGGAGCTGGAGGGGCTGAGGAAAAAATCCCATGCTGGAAAGCTGCAGCAACTCAAAGAGAGGATCCGGGAACAGAGGCAGCGGCACTGGGCTCTGACCCAGGGACAGGGGCAGCCGCGCACGGCCTACGCCGGGGACCTGCTGCACGGACAGCCGCCAAAAAGAAAGGTTCGCAAAGTGGCAGCTGCTCCGGCAGCCCCAGTCTACAGAGGTCAGTAACCCTCGTCGTCCTGGGCTGGACTTGCAGCCTGCTGCATGGCTGGTGCTAGGCACGAGTCGGTGCCTTTCCCCAGGGGGCCCGGCCCTTACTGTCAGCCCGATCGTGCCGCGGGGCCCGGGTCTTGGAGCAGCTCTGTTTACAAGGAGGCCTGGCTTTGGCAGCTATAAATGACACGGAGCCACCAGCACCGCGTGCCGTTGCTACAAGCGGCAGGTGCCTGGGATGGTTGCAGCTTCTCGACTGCCACGCCACACCATGCCACCGTGCAAGCATCCCCTTGGCCAGCTATACTCGTGATAACTTGCTTGCAATAGTCACCGAGAATCAACCACCACCCCACAGTCTGCTCATAAACCCTCCGCCCGAGCGCCCTTTTCCAACATGTCTAAGCTTCCAGTCACAAAACATCCACCCTTCTCCCCCCACCCCAGGTTTCCTTCTCTCTTGCCACATAAACAGGAGCCCCCTTTTACTGCACCAACACATGGAGAAGTCAGTGAAGTTACCCCATACATTCTTCTCCCTGGGGTTGCAAGTTTGGGGTTGCAGGTTTGCTCACAAAAGAAATGGCTTATTTAGTTGCCACTATTGAAAGGCCATTGATGAGTCTTAAGGAAGAAGGCACACTTGGACTGGTTTCAAGGTGTCCATCCATTTTATTATCCCTTTGACCTCCCCGCCAGCATGGAGGAGCCAGTCTGCCTTCCCTGCATACTGTGCACGACATTTGCAAGCTAGGAAGCACAAGAAGAGATTCTAGCCAGACACGAGACACAGTAGCCCAGCAGCACGGAGAGGCACAAGGGGCAATTTAAAGCAGTTGTGTAGTTCAGCACGTATGACCGAGGATGTCAGTCTATTCGCTAGAGCTAGCACGGTTCTGTAGTATTAGGCTCTCAGCCTGCTTTCCTGCTGCTGTTGAGCCCAAAGAGCTGTGAACACAGTTGTAACCATAGCTCTGGCTTAAAGCAATGCAAAATCTCTGGTTTCTGAAGAGGCACCGATGGGCTGACCTAACCAGCTACACAGGCATGCTTGCTACTAAGTCCAGTCCATCAGCCTGGCTGTCATTTCAGCTAATGGAGGGCTAGGGCTGAATCACACTAGGGAAAACAGGCTGAAAATGGAAACATAGCACTGGCAAAAAATAATTGGCAATACTACAAAAAAAAAATTACATTAAAAGTATTACTTTTCTAATATAACACAATGATTCACTCAGTGAGGAAGGAGGAATCAACACTGTTACTCATGATTAGATCTCAGGTATCCAGGTTGTAGCTGTGCTGATCTAGAGGCAAAAGGAATCAGGACTCGTGGTAGAGGTGATATCTCTATTAGGCCAACTAGATTTTTGCAAAAAAAATGATTTAATTGCAAGCAGCCTTCTTCAAGCATAGGAGAAAAGATTGCAAAAGTTCTCCTGGGTTGAAATGAAAGTTCATGTTTGTGCTCAAAAGCTTGCAATTAAAGAATGTTTTTTGAAAAATCTAGTTGGTCTAATAAAAGATATCACCTCTACCACGAGCCCCAATTAGATATCTCCACATTCCTGTTTCCCATAAGTTTTGGCCAGGCAACCTTTCATGCCAGGATGATTTGGTGGTCAGTTCATCAATGATTTACTGGATCTCACTCCAGTTCCCTGTGGGCACATATCCACATCACGAAAGGCCCCTCTCTCCATCCACAACAGCAGTCTTTTATCACAAGCATAATGACCTCACCTATCCTGGGGCAAAAACCCAGTGTCAGGGAGTCTGTCTGACTACAATTTAAACTGTTTCAAATGACTAGTGCATGGCTTCAAATTGGCTTCTACTTTTCACATGCGCATCAACCCTACCGCTGCTGGCCAAGGTGCTTGCCCTTCTCCCTGACCATGTCTAAGGTTTCTGTTCCTCTAGGGTTTAGTGCCGTGGACCTGCAAGCTGCTCAGTTTCTGCCTGGAAAAGAGATGGAAAGATCACAAGTGGCAAAGTTCATGGACACTGAATGCTGGAGGGATTACAACTACAGTCCAGGTGGGCGCTGCCAGGAGGGTAACACTTTATTAAGTAAGGGTGGTTTTTTTCAGATATTTCCAGCTATTCTACAATATACATATGGGCTGATGAGCCAAAATACTGCCCAAATAGCACGTGTGTGACAGTGAACACTGGAGTCCAAGCTGTTAGTCACCTGGGCTTGGTCAGAGGTTTTGCCTTTTGTTGGACATGGGCTGAGAAGCAGGAGGTGGTTTCACTGCACAGAAAGCCTCCCCTGCTGGTTAAAAACCATCATAAATAAAGCAAAGAGGTCCTTTTTCCTAGAAAAAGGCAGACTTTTTTTTTTTTGCCGTCTCCTCTGAAAAACAAAAACAAACAAGCAAACAAAAAGGCAGCTCTGTATGCTCCACAGAAGTTTTATGGCAAGTCTCGGCTGAATTTAGAGTGTACTGGAGTGGGCCCCAGGAGCCTCAAAACACTGCAGGGTAGCACTACAGCACTTGTTGAATATCTATAGACAGATAGATAGATATCTATATATATCTACATATCTATCTAGATATAGATATTCATATTCTATAGCACCACCCCTCTATATAAGCACAAAAATGAATAGTCAAGGTAAACTCATTATGTCTATAATCCAGAGATGTAGTTAGCAATGAAAAGCAGCTTGCAGCAGCCCGTTAGGGATATAACATCTACATTAATTTTCCAGGGCTTAAGTCATAAGCAAAAGCAGTCGTGTTCACAATTCAGTTTTCTCTCTCTAAAACCTCTCTCCTCTGTGTGTTTTCTCATGGCTAAAGCCCAGAGGGGGCCAAGTGCGACACAGAGGAAAAAGCAAGGACTGACTCCATCCAAGTCCCCCGTCCCTAAGAAGACACGGATAAATAAAGGTAAAAGATACAAGTTACGTGGACCAAATAATCCCCTGGCAATGGGGAAGTCACAGGACCTGTGCAAAGGGGCCAGAGAAAAAGTGCTCGACTGGCAAAATATCATGGTTGCTGTTAAATGGGTGCTTGAACCCATGCATCTACAGGGTAGCTTTGAAACATGTACTTTAGGAGTATGCCGTGTCCTATCATCTTAAATGCAACCTAGCCCTTAAGTTTGTGACCATTTTCTCAAATTAGGGTTTAGCAGAGAAAGCAGCAATGATTAAAGTACTAGCAACAATAGTGCTGGTGTTTCAGGAGCCAAGTATTGCGAGAGTGAACAGGTAGTCTGGAGGGGCAGAGGGGGTCCCATACTAGTAGTTGTGCCCGATGGAGTCATTAAGACGTGGTGGAAATAGTCAATCTCATGGTCAAATTGGAAGTGTTGCACTCTTGTGTACATGAGATGCTTCTTGTGGTTTCAAGCGACTCTGGTGTCCCTCACTTTGGCTGCACCGATGCACCGTTGACCAGCAGCAGGATTTAACCAAGTGTGGCATTCCCCAACAGTGGCATGTAGAGTCTTATCTATTATATACGCAGAGTACCGTGGCTTGAATAAATACAGGCTGGGCTTTTCAGGGAAGCACAACGGAGCTGGGCACTGAATTCTCTCAGGCTCGTGGACCAATCTTGCCAATTTTCAATCATACTTTGAACTGCTAGAGCAACTCTGCGTGAGGAACGGCAGCCTCTTTATACGCCTGAACGTACATCTCTGGCTGCAAAGTTCATGTTCCCCATGTTTTCAACAGAGAAACTTGAGAGGAAAGGAGTTGGACAAGTTATCCCCTCACCCAATGCATTTAATGCCTCTATTTTGTTTTACAAACAAACTAAAGAAAGTGTCCTGCAGAGGAGGGCAATGAAAATGGTTTGGAGGCTGCAGCACATGACTTGGAGAGGCCGAGGGAACTGGGTTTATTTAGTCTGCATATGAGAAGACTGAGGGGGATTGAATAGCAGCCTTCACCTCCCTGCAGGGGGTTGCAAAGAGGATGGAGCTGGGCTGGTCTCAGTGGTGGCAGATGACAGGACAAGGAGCAATGGGCTCAAGCTGCAGCAAGGAAAGTTGAGGCTGGATATTAGGAAAAACTCTCTCACTAGGAGGGTAATAAAACACTGGACCAGGCTCCCCAGAGAGGTAGTGGCACCCCCATCCTTGGAGGTTTTGAAGACCCAGGTAGACAAATCCTTGGCTGGGAAGATGTACTTAGGGCTGGTCCTGCTTTGAGTCAGGGGCTGGACTAGATGTGACCTCCTGAGGTCCCTTCAACCCACATTTTCTGTGATTCAATGATTGCAATACCCTAGAGGTCTGGGATGATGTAGCTGGGGCTGGTCCTGCTTTGTGCAGGGGGTTGGACTGGATGCAACCTC